CATCTCATCATGCAAGTTCAAGACCAAGATTTCCCCCTCTCCGTGCTGGGGGGGCTCCGTCCTTTTTGTCCTTATGTATATTGCGGATTGCCGGGACTTTCGAAGGTCAAAAAGTGAACCTGACCTTCTTCTGAGTGCAGCCCGGGGTCTGCGGGCGACCAAGTGGCCCCCAAAGGGCTGATTGGAATAAGAAAAGAGAGGCGGGGGGGGGCGTGATGAAAGTGACTCTGGCGGTCGGAGGGGATGAGGTTTGAGTGATGGGGTGGCATGGGAAAGTCACCCCGCAGCTGAGAGCGAATGGGCCGTGAAGGGACGAAAGAGAGGAAGGGAGGGACAGGGATCTGAAAAATGGGGGGAGGTGGGGGCAGATGGCGCCTTGAGTGGAAGGTGTTGGGTGAAAGTGAGGGAGCGGGGGGTCGACTGCTGCCTATTGTAAAGGCAGGACTATTGTTCGAGTCTGGCCCAATCGCCACCCTGCTCTCGGAGTGAATAGAAGTCACCCAGACCCCGCCCCCCCGTCCCCCTGCTCCAATCCCAATCTCTCTGATTGAACAGAAGTCACCCAAGCCCCGCCCCCTTGCTCCCCCTGCTCCAATCCCAGTCTCTCTGATTCAACAGAAGTCACCAGACCCCGCCCCCCCCCTGCACCCCTGCACCAATCCCAATCTCTCTCATTAAATAGAAGTCACCAGGGCTCCGCCCCCTGCTCCCCACCCACCAGCATTGTGCGACTCCTGTGTCCCTGTCGGGCTCAATGGCATGTGTCGCTCTGGTGGGGGAGAGGGGCTGCCATAGATCTCCTGCAGCGGGAGAGAAAGGGAGAAGCTGTAAAAGAGCCATCCATCAGTGTGTGTCAAGTGCACATTCTCCCCCAGCCCTCCTGCAGTGGGGTTGTCACCCTAGTTACCCCCTCCTTCTCCACACTCACACCCTCCTAAAAATGAAGATATCGGTGTCCAGTGTTTGACTTATTTCATCTCGTCACATGGGGGTCTTCAACAACCTCAAAAAGCAGGTCGAGCTCTTCCTGAGTTTAATGGCCTAAAGGCCTACTCTCTCAGAGAGCTGTTATCGTGATGCTGATCGAGACCTTATCATGTCCTGACTTTTAATTACAGCATCACTGTCTGGATTCTTCTGAAAGCCCCATTGCTTTGCATTTTCGATTTGTTATGTGATGTGATTTCATAGTTACATGTCGTGTCTCTGCCAGTCATGGAAAACGGCGAATTCGTGAAAAGATGTCTGCTCTTCATCACCTTCTCATGTCATGTCATCAGCTCTTTTTCTCATGCTGCTGATCGTCTTCCGGAAGTCACAGGGAAGCAGATTCGTGTACTTCGTACCATCTGGAGAGAAGTGGAACATTAGTTTCCCCAGTCAGTGAGCCCCGGTTTACTTTCTGAGGAATGTGAAACTGTGATTTCTTTACTTACGTCTTTTTATTGTCCCAGATGGAGAATATGTTTTGCAGGCAATTAACACAATATGAACCAACTCAACATTTGCAAATAAGAGACATCTGTGTATGATGAGGAAGAAGAAAATAAAAACACATAAATTGATATAGTAAAATACACAGTAAAAGAAGCAGGTTAATAACTGGAATAAAAGATGACTTATTTCTATTGTATTTGAATGTGAGAAATCTAAATCGATGCCCAGATGGAAGAAGGTCACTGTGCAAGTGGTGGTCAGTGATTATACTGGTCTTGTGCACTATTTGCTTGATGCAGATGTCTGAGAGCTGTTGTACACCAGTGTTACTGGCTACCTTCACAATCCTGCTCAGTCTGTTTTTATTAATGTATTCAGTTTATCAAACCCGGTTACCGCAATGAATGTTAGGATTCAATTAAAGTTCTTTAGAACAAAGTCAACGTTGTAGCACGCACATTAAAAGAGCAGAGTTTTCATAGGAAGACCAATCGCTGTGGGCTCTTCTTACATACGGCGTCCATGTTTTCCTTAAAAATGAGTTTGTCATCAAGAATAGTGCCAAGATATTTGTTGAGATTTTGCCGTTAGGAATCGGTTTCTTGTGAGATGAGCTTGCCCAGGAAAATAACATTTTCCCTGAAACGTTTTGGTCGATGATCAATATTGACTTCTGCACATCATGTGCGTTTCCTTAACAGCAAACATATCTAAACAGATGTAGTTAGAGAACATTCTAAAGAATATTAGGAAGAAAGAAAGAGCAAATCAGCCCCTCAGTTCTTAGCAGGAGAATCAGCTTTTTACTGACCAGAACCAATCTGATAAACATGGACACCCCCTTCCTAAGAGAAGAGTCAGAGGTAACTTGTGAGGCGCGATGTACAGCAGGCATTCTGGGTAACGGGTGTCAGACTTGTGGCACTGTGGTGTTTATAGGGGACTGGAATCTGAGTGGGGGTGGATGGAGGAGACAGGGAGCTGTGATCTGGGGTGATTTCAGAACATCAGAAAGATTCCAGAGGAGACAACGCCATTCAGCCCGTCAAGCCTGTGTGGCTGTTAGGAGCTAATTGATCCACGGATCTCGCTTCTGGAAGGAAGCCAAGGTTTTGGCAGGATAGCCTGTTCCACACTCCCACAACTCTCTGTGTAAAGAGGTTTACCTGTTTTCGGATGCATCTTTTTTCCCCTTGTGACCTCTAGTTCAGAACCCGTTAAGAAGATGTGGGATTTATAATCTATACCCTTAACGTATGAAATATTTATATGTCAATGTGTTGATTGCTTGTTTCTTATTTCCGTTCTGATGTGTAAAGAGAAAAAAAACAGAATGAATATGCTGAGCTCATTTTTTTTTTAAATCATGCAAGGAGTTCAGGTGTAGTTCATGCTGTATTTTGAACTTCAAGTCAGCACTCCTGAAAATGACTGGACAGTTGAAGGCTCATCACCTGCTGGGCATATAATTTCTGCTTCATACCGAGCCCAGTCTTGCTGAAGACAAATATATCTTGTATTTAAAATGTGAAAAATAATAAGCATTTATTGAATGACATCAATGCTAGTTACGAATTAAAGGTTTACATTCCTACTTGTTTTTATATTTAATACAGCTTTCTGGTGCTTACACTGTGCTTTGCATTAGAACAGTGCTGTTTGTCAGCTCTGCACTGCATCATTGCAGAAACAATGATTGTCCATATCCTAGACTAATACCGACCCCTGAAAAGGGAAAAAGGCCTGTGCCCTATTTGAACCCCATTTCTTAATCTAATTAGTGTCGCTCGTTAAGCCATTAATTACGTGGAAACCGTCCCAGTGGCCTTGCGGTGTGAAGGTCTAGGGTGCCTCGTTAGAGACGGCGTACAAAATGGAGTCTTTCCCTTGACTTAGCTCGTTAGTCTGGGGAATAATTAAAAACCCGGGGTGATCGATGAAATTGGTGGCCCATTCCATGATTGCATCATCAATTACCTTTATGCCCCCCCCCACAGCACACCCCCCCACACACACTTTGCCTTCATCCCAGTTATAAGTGGGAATAAAAACCCTCACTGTGGACTTTATTACCCCATAAACTTTCATCACCTCTTCATCACCTTGTGGTGGAGGTCGTAAAGCGTTCTATAAAAAAAAGAACCAGACCAGCCCCCTGCTTGCCTACAGGCCTGGTGGGTCGGATCAGCTGGCCTGCTGAGGGCTGAGAACTGCTGACTGCCCCCGGCCCTGCCCTGAGGATCCGATGGACCTGTTTATCCTCCAGGCCCGGGTCCGACTGCTGTCAGAGAGCTGCATGATGTCAGAACCAGAGAAAGAAAGCCTGCTTGGGTCAATAGGATACTTTGGCCAAGGCATGAACCCTCCACAATCTCATACGTGTTTGCATTAGTATGCTGGACCATAGGAATACCATGCTAACATTTTACTACAGTACATCATAGTATTCCTACGGTCCAGTGTAGTGAAGCATCTGTCCAGATCTTTACTACAAAACCACTCATATTCTGATTGTTTCATCTGTCATTGATCTCTTTAATCATACTGTCTCGGTCTACCCCAGTTTTCCTCAATATGTTCCAGTAGACTGGGGTGTCCCTGTGGCGTTGGGGTAAAGCTTATATTTGGAATGAATAGGTATTTGAAAGCCAGCACAGTAAGGCAGATCTTCGGACACAGAACGCAAGCATTCCTCAGGGGCCTGGTCGGCATCAATAACGATCAAGAAGGAAAAAAAGACGAATGAATTCCCGCAAAACTTTTGAAAGGCATCTTTAGAAATTCACAATTGAATGTGAACAATAACATAGCAAGGACACCTGAAAAACAAACCAGGGGTGCTTGGAGAGCGGAACATCTTGCCTGGCCTTGTTGTTAAAGCTGATGCCCTGCCTTGTTAAGAACCTCAAATGAATTCACAAATTACTAATGAGCACGTTCTGTGCAAACTGCACACAGGTGGACTCCAGTCAAGTAATTCTGTGACTTGGAGAAGAGAGTTGGTTACTTCAGAGGTAATTCAGGTGTGGCAAAGCAAGGGGGTGAATATTTATGCATTCAATTCTTTTCTGTTTTTTTATGAATTTAGTAAAATGTCTGGATATTTTGTTTTTCCACTTTGACACGCTAGAGTACTTTGCGCTGATGAGAGCAGAAACTCTCAGTTAAATAAATCATGGTTCCCTGCTGTAACACAATTTTTTATAGGCACTGTACCTCCCCTCTGACCTTGAAGGTGTATCGAGTTCTTCTCTACTCTGCCTTTTGTATCCTTAGGTTCTTATAAGGCTGCAGCAGTTCGAAAGTAAGGCTGCAAATGTTTTCTCCTCCCTGCTTCTCGTAAAAGCCTGTGATCAGGCCTCGTTAAGCACCCCTGGGACTTGAGGCAGGGGGTGGTTTCTTGGTGGTGAGCACAAAAGCAAACAGCTCGCTGACAGGAAACATACCCTTCTGGTGCCATTTAACAAAACAATCAGAGGCAGAGAGATAATTACAAGTTTGCAAAGCAAGGGGCACCTTTGAAATTGCAAATGGTGGGAGACCCATTGATTAAGATCCCGGGGATGGAGGGTGGGTGACATTTTTCAGAAGGGAAAGAAAATAAAGAGTTGCTTGAAATCCGATTCGTGCGAATTGGTTTTGTTCTGAAAATGTGGATCGATCCTGGCACATACGGACACTGACAACGGGCCTCTCTCCACATGCTCTGCTGTTTCCTGTGTTCATTTCGGAAAGCGAGCAAACCATCACCTTCCTCACGTTCAGAAGAGTGCAGTTGTCCATCACACTGCTGTTTTCTGTTCTGTGCCCCCAACAGATCAAGTTCACGTACAGTGTGCAGTACAGCTACACGCTGCACCACGGACTGCAGGTTCTCAATGCAGCTAAACTCTGCATTTAAATGAGTCCTTAACTGAGCCCACAAGTTGCTTGATGGGACCTTTGCAAGCTTTTGGAGCTCTGCAGTTACCAATGAGGTGCAATAGCTGAAAGGCAAAACTGCAACAGGTTGAAGACAGACGGATTCAAAATAAACCTACTTTTGGTCTTATTAATGGTTCAATTCATGAAATTCAGAATTGAACCAAATGGCACAAAAGCAGCAGGATCCCCAGAACCAGGACTGGGAACACCCCTGGCCTAAACACCAGGTTTGTGACATCACGTCTCTGTGTTGGGGTGAAACTGAGCAGCTTGGTTGAGTAGTATTCTCCTGCTGAGCCCCTAGCTGTTGATGAACGACCAATGCATCATTAAGTACAGAGGAATGGAGTTAAGTGAACATTATTGGTATTGCTCTGCTGGTATTGACATTTCAATACAAGTCCAAATTAAAAAGGCATGAAAACTCACATAAAACCTGCCCTTGCCTACACAATTATCTGGCTCCATTGGCAATTATTAGAGTTGATTTCAGGTCAGTTTTCTGGTTCAACGGTCCTGCTGTTTATCATTTTTAAGTAATTGGGTAATTAGTGGACAGTGACAAAACAGCCAGGATCTCTGGATATTCACACTTTGTGTTCATGAAGAATCGTGAAAATACATTCTTACCAGTTGTGCAGGATGGAAAGTGAAATCCATCAGGCAGGATCATCTTGGGGCGGAACTAACTTACTTTGCCCCTCCTCTCTTCCCTAGATGTGGGTGGAGCCTCTGAGCTGGCCTTCCTATTGGAGCCCAGTGATGTCATAGCAGTCAGGGACCGCCCACTGCTGCTGAGCTGCCAGGTGGAGGGCGAGGGGCCGATCACGGTGACGTGGCGCAAAAATGGGATCCCGGTGGCGACGGGCCAGCGGGCCAGCGTTCTGGCCAACGGCTCACTGCTGATCCAGAACTTCCACAAGCGGCGGGAGAGCAACGAGACGGACGCCGGGGAATATGACTGCGCCGCACAGAGCCGATACGGCATAGTGGTCAGCCGTAAGGCCCGGGTCCAGCTGGCCTGTGAGTATGTGGGAGACCATGCTGGGTGGGGGCTGACACAGAGCCTGCACTGATCCCCCTGATTGATTGATTGCATTGATTGATTGACTTACTGATTGATTGACTATATGTTAGACCACGCAGGTAGAGGGCTTACACAGAGCCTGCACTGATCCACTTAATTAATTAATTGACTTATTGATTGAGTGACTGTTAGACCATGCAGGGTGGGGGCTGACACTGAGCCTGCACTGATCCACTTAATTGATTAATTGATTAATTGATTGACTTATTGATTGAGTGACTATATGTTAGACCATGCAGGGTGTGGGCAGACACAGAGCCTGCACTGATCCACTTGATGGATTAATTGATTAATTGGTTGACTTATTGATTGAGTGACTGTATGTTAGACCATGCAGGGTGTGGGCTGACACTTGATTGTGCGACTGATTGTTTGAACACACATGCACACAAGGTTCCTGTGGCCCTCTCTGACTCAACCACTGTAAAATTATTCTAATCCGTGGACACCACATCCTCACCAGTTAAAGTTCTTTAAATACTGTGGATCTTGTGGATTCATAAAACTCAGTAAATACATGCATAAGCCAAAATTAATATATATATATATCCAGACTGCATTTTACATGTGAAATGCCAGGGAACGTTTGTGCATCCCACATAAGAACAACATAAATACATGATTGAGCGCTGATGGGAACAAACAGAAAAGCAAGAGCTTTTCTCACCACAGCTGATGTGTGGGGAGTGTTCTGGCGCACTATGGCTGCCGTCGCATCATCCAGGTGGGGCTGCACATTGGTGGTGGTGGAAGGGATCCCCATTACCTGTAAAGCGCTTTGAGTTGAGTGTCCAGAAAAGCGCTATATAAGTGTAAGCAATTATTATTATTATTATTATTAAAAGCAAGAGTTCCACAGAACTGCTTTGGGATAAAACCGATCCCTTAGGATTAATCACCAACCTTTTTAAAAGCTCTTGTAAAATTTAGGCAGGGTTTGCAGCCATCATGCACAAAACCCTTGACTTCTAAGAAGACAGCGTGTTGCTCAATAGAGCGACTGTCCCTTAGGATCGAAGCCCCACATGCAAAACACTCAGGCCTGCTGAACCCCGATGCTGTCACGGGTGTTACAAGGCGACAAATGCGTTTTTCTGGCACTGCACCCCAGAAAGACCAGGGCGTGAACCAGCGTGGTACCAAGATCGTGTTGATTTTGATTCTCCAGCGCCTCACTCAGTCTCACTTGATATTGCCTCCTGGGAGCAGGTGGGGGGGGGGGATTATAACGACACATTTTATAGCCACCCCTGTCCCCGACCTCCCCTTCCCTTTTAAAGAGACAATGACGTCCTCCTTGCCCCCTCAGTCCCTCCCCACTGACCCCTCCCTCTGGCCTCATAAACCAGGGCAGCGTGGGTAATGGAGCACAGGGGGACACCTCCTCTGGGCAGTGGGGTTACCATGGCGATGCACTTCATTTGAAGTTCCCCTTTATTGATTTGGAGCCTGGCTCCTATTTTTCCATGCGGCCTATTTTTAAGAGGGGCCTTTGCCTATCACTGGCCATAATTGAAGACCTAAATTCTGTCACCCTCCCATCCCCACCAGTGTTACTAACCAATTTCTGCTTTTAATCAGGACTAAGCGTTCGTACCAAGTAAGGTGACTCAGATTTACTCATTTCTTTGTCTGTTCATTGTACTGGAGCAATTCAGGTGAAGGACTTTGCTCAAGGGTAAAACAGCAGTGTTTCTCCTGGGATTTGAGCCCACAACCTTCCAGGTACATGGCCAGTGCTCCACACTGTGGTTCCAATTGTGGGGCTGATAGAGATGATGCTAAATAAATAAAGAGATGTCACAAGTTCAACAAACAATTATTGACAAGTGCACCTATAATAATAATAATAATAATAATAATTGCTTACGCTTATATAGTGCTTTTCTGGACACTCCACTCAAAGCGCTTTACAGGTAATGGGGATCCCCTCCACCACCACCAATGTGCAGCCCCACCTGGATGATGCGACGGCAGCCATAGTGCGCCAGAACGCTCACCACACATCAGCTCTCAGTGGGCAGGAGAGCAGAGTAATGAAGCCAATTCTTAGATGGGGATTATTAGGAGGCCATGATTGGTAAGGGCCAATGGGAAATGTGGCCAGGACACCGGGGTAACACCCCTACTCTTCTCGAGAAACGCCCTGGGATTTTTAATGACCACAGAGAGTCAGGACCTCGGTTTGACGTCTCATCCGAAGGACGGCGCCTGTTTACAGTATAGTGTCCCCATCACTATACTGGGGCATTAGGACCCACATGGACCGCAGGGTGAGCGCCCCCTGCTGGCCCCACTAACACCTCTTCCAGCAGCAACCTTAGTTTTTCCCAGGAGGTCTCCCATCCAGGTACTGACCAGGCTCACACCTGCTGAGCTTCAGTGGGCTGCCCATTGTGAGTTACAGGGTGATATGGCTGCTGTGTATATACCTTTGTGAAAGCAAAGAATAAACCCCAGTCATAGATAGATAGATAGATAGATAGATAGATAGATAGATAGATAGATAGATAGATAGATCAAATGCAGATTCTACACAAAAACTGAGACCATTGTGGTGGGCATTAGGTGGTGACTCCATGTGGACCAGCAAACTCTCCACTACTTCAGTATCCTGCACACGAATAATAACACCAGAAATGAAAGTATACCGAGTGTTTCTAAATATTCATCTTTGAAATGTCACTTCTTGAGTTTGGCCATTATCGCACAAGGAAGTGACCAGCTTTCATCAAAGATTGATCGCTGATAAACCTAATTGCAAGTGAGCAGTATTACTTGGCTGAGGTGTCCTCCCACAGTCCAAAGGCATGCTGGGAGGTAAATTGGCTTCTGGGAAAATCAGCCCTGGTGTGAGTGGGAGTTTTGTGCCTGTCTCTTCCGCGATGGGCTGGTGTCCTGTCTCAGGTGTACCCCGCTTTGCACCAGGATAGTCTCCAGCTTCCCCCCATGATCCGAGATTGGAAGAAACGGTTTGAAAATGGATGCACGGATGATTCGCTGGAGCTGGGGCTCCAATCCGGTCTGGTCAGAGAGAATGATCGGCTGGCCAGTGTTACACGTGGCCATCGTGCACTGGTGCTCTCTCAGCTGGGGCGTGATGCTTAATGGGAGCGATAATGTCATTCCGTGTGCAGGGCCAGTTTGATCCTGGGGCCACCCGGATCACGGTGGTTCTCCAGAAATAAGGAATTGTTCTTGCTCCTGCTCTGGTCCAGACCTGCCTCGTGTGCTGTGGTTCCCTTTCTGTGCTCGGACAATAGGAAAGGTTCCCTCAAGTTCCTTGTCGCACTGTGTCTCTTCACAAGGGGGCCCCATGTGTTCTGTAGAGATGACAAGCAGCGGGTTCACACTGACAGGCCAAAATCGTCTGGAACATCTCCCAAAGAAGAAGTGTAACAGGAGTACTGGGCCAGGAGACCTGCCTGATCTGCTGGGGAGAATCAGGAGTGAAACTCAGTTCTGCTGCAAACAGGGCTGAGGCCAGCGTCTCCTGGGGGCAGTGCTCATCTCCCTCACCCTCACCCTCTCGATCTCGTCCCCAGCTCTCCCGAAGTTCCACACCCACCCGGAGTCGATGACGGTGGACGAGGGGGGCGTGGCTCGGTTCCAGTGTCAAGTGAACGGCATTCCCGAGGCCAACATCACCTGGGAGAAGAATCGGACCGCTCTGAGCACCAAGGACAACAGGTAATGGTCGCCGAGGCGACGCAGAGGCCGACAGTGCCTGGAAGCCTTCACTTCCTGGTTCTACCTGTCACCTGGCCAATGGTCTTCCTCCAATTGGTCAGGTGACTGAGGATGGCAGGTCCTTCCTCTCTGGGGGTGTGTGGCCCAGACAGGAATCTCCAGCACAAAAAAGCACAATTTCCTGGTAGTGTGTTGGATTTGTTAAGCATGAGTGTTCCGCATGTGCTTCGCTGATGTGCCAGGTCCAGCTGAAGGCCTCCCTCTGTCTGCCCTGCAGGTACACGCTCCTGCCCGCGGGCATCCTGCAGATCACTGGCGTGCGCCGAGCCGACACGGGGGTGTACCGCTGCGTGGCCACCAACATTGCCAATACCCGCTACAGCCAGGAGGCCCAGCTCAACGTCACCGGTGAGCGCACCCCCCGCCGGGCACGGCTGAGGCCTTGTGCCCGAGCTACGCGCCAGTGCCGACCGGGGCGTCCAGGCGACATGGCTATCCCATCAGCCCTTCTGCATCGGCGGCGCCTGAAGCATATCTCACTTGGTCTGTCAGAGCGTTTCTATTCGGAAAGGGGTCTAGAAGCTAATTGTCCCTCTGTGCCCCCTCTTCTGTCCACCCGCTCAGAAAAGAGCAAGATGACCGTCTTTTGGCCACTCTGGTGGGATCGTTTTGTGCGGCTGATTAAGACTTTTGCTCTAGGACAAGTAGCATGGCTCCCACATTAGAATTTCTCTTCTGATCACTTCTCTGAGGGATGGAGAAGACACTGTTGTTATGAGCTGTTACACTAAAGCTTTTGCTTTGATGCAAACTCCTAGTCAACACAAACTCACTGTCTACAGATGCAGCCAGGTCTTCGTGTATGTAGTTGCACAGCAGGTCATGTTCGTAATTGAACGGACTGTCTTTGGCTTGAAAGCCGAGGTGTGCAGTTAAGCAATGCACATCACGTAGAGACAACCTTGCGCTGTAGTTTAAACACTGTAAATGTGTTCCATGTGGATTATGAGATACCTGCATGTGAAGAACACTGAAATATGCTACATCATTGATTTTGTGGCAAGCTTAGGTACAGTAAGTGCACAGATATAATATGGATCACAAACAGGAGGAAGCCTTTTGGCCCAATAGTCCTGGAAAATCCAACAAGTTTGGTTCCTTTGGTGTCTCCGGGTCCTTGCAATATTGTTGCTGATATTTTGAAGAAACCCCCTTGATTAACACCCCTCAGGATTTTGAATACCTGAACCATGTTTCCACCTAAACTTTGAATGTAAGAAACAAGCAGGGTTTGGTAACATTCGCCACACTGCTCTTCAGTTCTTCTTGTCTAATTCCAGCCTCTCCTTTCTTCCTCTCCTTTCAGTGGCGGCACCAAAAACCTACAAAGAACCGGTCATCCTCTCCGGCCCTCAGAACCTCACCATCACTGTACACCAGACGGCCATCTTGGAGTGCATCGCCACCGGCAACCCCCGGCCAATCGTGTCCTGGAGCAGGCTGGGTGAGTCCTCTGGCTCCTGCCCCACGATCACCACACAGAGGCCCACTGCTTCTGGAGAATGGTGGTCAAAGAACTGGGAATTTGCGCCTGAAAATGTGGAAAGGTGCAGGAGCAGGCTAAGGATGGGGAATTGAGTCCTCATAAGCGGACACTGCTATTGTACCCATAGGCAAGATGCTGTACACCAGTGACTCTGGGTCACGCAGCTCAGACAACCCTATAGTAAGCTGGTGTCGTGTTCAGGGACATTTGTTCCTTTAGTTCACTCACTGCAGAAACCTGCATAAGCACTGGCCTGATGGGCCTGCAGGCTGGGGTCTGTGTGGCCTGATGGGCTGGGTTCTCTGGCCTGATGGGCCTGCAGGCTGGGGTCTGTGTGGCCTGATGGGCCTGCGGGCTGGGATCTGTGTGGCCTGTGGGGCCTGCGGGCTGGGGTCTGTGTGGCCAGGTGAGCCTGCAGGCTGGGGTCTGTGTGGCCGGGTGAGCCTGTGATCACCTGTCTTCAGCTCAGGCCCACAGAGCTGAATATACGGCCCAGCTCCACCAGACTCTGTAACAGCTTCTTCCCGCAGGCTGTCAGGCTCCTCAACACCCTGGAATCTCCTTGCACCCACCCCAATTCCAGAAACAGGGTTTAAATCCCCCCAGTGTGTTGTGTAGATTGTATTATGTATTGCCTTGTCATTTGCACTATCTGCACTTTGCACTATGTGTATCCTGTCTACAATGTCTATGTCCGTGTCCTGTCTGTATTTGCACCGAGACCCAGGACGAACGATATTTCGTTCCACTGTATACTTGAAAACGGCAGGAATGACAAATAAACGTCAACCATTCTGTGACCTGAGGGGTCCCCGCGCCCCTGACCTTGCCCTGCTCTCTGTGCCCCCGCAGACGGCCGCTCCATCGGCGTGGAGGGGATCCAGGTCCTGGGGACGGGGAACCTGATGATTTCCGACGTGTCCCTGCAGCACTCGGGGGTGTACGTGTGCGCCGCCAACCGCCCCGGCACCAGGGTGAGGCGCACGGCGCTGGGCCGGCTGGTCGTGCAAGGTGAGCGAGCGTCCCTCGGGCCCGGGCTTCCCGGTCGGCACGCCGCGCCCCGGCAGGCTCAATATCCCCACAGCGCTCAGGAGATAACATCACTTTATGATCCCTATACAATTTCTTGCATTAGAAATCTGTCTTTTCGCAGACCCCAGCTTGCTCTCCATGAGACACACAGACAGGGAGAGAAGCTGGGGGTCAGAGCACAGGGTCAGACATTTATAAGGCACCCCTGGAGCAGTTGGGGTTAAGGGCCTTGCTCAGGGGCCCAACGGAGTAGGATTCCTCTGCTGGCCGCAGGATTTGAACCGGCAACCTTCCAGCCACAGGCGCAGATCCTGAGCCCCAGAGCCACTGCTCCGCCAGAGTAAACCAGAGTATTTTCCACAGATGTGGACACCGCGATGCTCAAACACGGGGATTCTTAAAATAAAATAAAATAGGTTGGCGTTCATGTGGAGTTAAAACAATGTAGGTTAATATAGCTCCGCTCCGGCATTCGACTTCCCGTTGGACAGGTCACACAACCCAGTTTGGGGGGTCCAAACAGCACCCCACTTCGGCGTGAGCACACACAGCGCTCGCCGGCAGGGAAACGCCCCCGTAGAGACCCAGGGCGTTTCCGTCGGAGACCAGCTGGGCCCGAAATGGGAGAAGAGCTGTGCGTTGAAACAGCTTGAGGCTCAGCCATTCGGGCTGTATCTCTTCCCAGAGGCTCTTCCTGGCCTTTGGTCTCATCAAGCACGTTCCCCCCCTTCTGCGTCCCGGGTCGGGGCGGGGGGCTGTACTGATTTGATTCGGCCCAGGCAGGACAGCCGGGCTCTCAAGCAGCAGGACGGAGCCTTGGAGGTGTGACTGGGGGGGGCGAATCCCAGCAACGGCCATTGTCCCACATTATCCCAGTCGCACCCTGAGAGGGGGTTGGGGGCAGAGGGTTAGGGGGCCGCAGAGGGAGGGGGGAGGGGAGCAGAAAATGGATGAGGCGGGGGGCAGAATTTAGGCAGGCCAGACTACATTAACCTGTATTGGATGTGGCCGTGACCTCTGGGGTCAGCTCACACCCCCAGCACACACGCACACTCGCCAGTGAAAGACAGACTGCGGCGATCATTAACGGCTGAGCTCTCGCCAAGACCAGGGTCTCCTTCTTCTGATTAACTAATTAGAAATGAGACGATGGAAACGAGATCCATTACGTGTGCATGTGTCTCTGCACTCCCCGCTAAAGATGGATACCGGGAAATAGTTTTCAACTAAAGTCCCTGGTTTTGTCTCTATTAATGTGGTAAGATTTATACATCCGCTTTGTTGATAATCCGATTATCCGTTCCTCAGCGCTTCCGACAGCAAGACATTTGGCTATTTAAGAAAGAAGGTGTGTCCAGAACATCTTCCACGACTGGTTTTGTGATCGATCCAACCTTGCATGCGACACAAAAACGTCATCGTCTTTTTCAATCAGTTCGCTGCAGTTCAGCCAAAGCTAAAATCCTATCTATCCCCCTGCTTTTCTGAGTCGTTTCTCGTGTTCAAGCAGCAATGTCTCGCCCCAAAAATGATAGGGGGGGGTGCGGGGCCCCCATGAATGAAATGAAAATGAAATAGAATCGCGCTCCTTTGCTTCGATAAAGGCGAAATATTAAACGGCGCTGCGAATGTCATCTGCATACCTTCTGCCTGGCTCTTTGAGGTTAACTCTCGGTGATCTTTTGTGGACTGTATTGATAAGCCTGTACAGAGGAGTTTAAAGGAGCCCCACGTGTCTATTTGCAATAGGTGTGCAGTCTATATCCTTTCCGAGCCCAGGAGGCTTAGAAGAACTTACGGAGGAAAAGGCAAATTGAATGAAGAATCATTCTTGAGAACGAATGAACCTTGAGAAGCCTAGTGTTAGGGGAGCGGAGCTCGAAAACTCTGAAGCCAACAACAGCTGTCTACCTCTGTCTCTCTGACTGCCTGTCTGTCTATCTGTATGTCACACCCAGGATCCTCAGCATCTCACAGCCCTTGACTTGCTCAAACATTTAGCGTTCAGTCACCAAACCCGTTTTGCAGCCGCCCAACACGATCATCTAGGGGTGTTCAGGTTTTAGGTCAATTACTCTTCTGCGTGTAGCGGATTTCTTTTCTGTATCCCGGATTCCGTGCCTCAGATGGGAGGCTGGGGAGATCCGAGGATGTCTGCCCTTTCACACAGCCCCGACCGGCCCCCGAACAGCTCGCTCTTGAACCCGGGGGGGCAGCGGTCAGATGGGGCGCCGAGAGCGTCTGTGGGGGCGCAGATGTAGGGCAGGGCGGTGGGGGAGGGCGTGGGACAATGGACAGCCATCTGAGGTACGGGGGCAGGAGGAAGGCGGGGGAGGTGGATGGGAGAGGGGAGGAGGCTTTGTGTGGGTGTGAGGAGCGACCCTTCACCTCTCACCTCTGACCCCCGACAATAGGCCCTAGGCCCGCAGCAGCGTTTTCCGATGGGGTTTTTGTTTCTGGGGTGGCGGCGATGACGGATGGCCCGTGGAGGAGGTGACTGCGGTCCCGGGACGGGGAGTGTGGGCATCGGAGCCGACGTTGTCCACAGCTGGCGGTCAGCCGCCCCCCTGACCCCAGCCAAGTTCACAAGGCAGGGCAGGAGGGGAGAAAGGAAGAAGATGGATGAGGAACGGCTATTGTGTTCACACCACAGCTATTGAGGGGTTCCGGCCATTTTCCCAGGACAGAATGGGATTTAAATTGGGATTTTTCATGCAAAATTCTGAAAGGGCCTTTAATATGCTGACAAAGACAGGGCCATATGGTAATGTGGGCTTTAGAAAACAGTGGTCTGCAGGAAGGAGGTTATTTACATGTTGGAAACATCTGGTTTAGCAGAAGATGAATCTGGGTGTTTTCGGCCTGCACTAGACACCCTGGATAACTGCTTTCTTATTTAACCCACAGGGTGCTTCCAAACAGCTCCATCCTGGGGCTCACCTGTCATTTCCCTCTCCTGGGTAGGGCTGCAGTACACGACGTCATGCTTTCACCAGCACGGCCCCTTCGAAGAACTCAGGCAGCCGGTACCTCAGACTAGGGCAGTTAGAGAACAGGAACAGACCTGTAATGTAACTCACAATCTTCTCACGAGACAGGGAAAACTTTCATTACAGTGCTTAGAAAAATGGGCCCAGCCTACATCTAACTTGCCTTATTTTAATTTGCTGCTATATTATTGTATATATATTTCTATTTGCTTGTAATGTACAGAGTACACGTGTAACCACAGTTAAACAAATCATATTTATTACACTTAATTAGTAGAGAGTGTCTTCAGTATCCACAAAGGGAAAATTAGCCGTGATTAGTCAGGGGAACCTTCGTAGAGTATATCTGACAGACAGAGAGATGAATAGCAATAAAGAGTGATACCTAATGTAGGCTTAGATATTAAAATCACATTTAATATTCAATTATACAAATGCATAATATGTTTCAATTTCACAAGTCACATTTTCATGATCACATTTGTACAAAACTGAAAAAAAACCCAGTCGTGATCCAATTGAAATCCATTGATTACAGTATGAGAATTTGAAAAGGTTAGTCCAATGCTCAGATAAACTCCATATAAGCTGGAGAGACACCTAGACAGCAACTGGATGGATAGATAACGCCTCTACAGAGACCTAGAACCATATCGAGAAACTTGAAGATTCTGTGTGAATTCAGTGAAAAAGTTCTCCTGGCCTGTATGATATGTGACACAAGGGGAGCAGATATTGACCACAAAAGAACTAGAATGTGCTCACATCCAGGTATACAGTTGACTGTGTAGTGTCCCAGGCTAAGTAACCAGTTTTTCGTCTTTTAACAATCTTTTCAAAATCAAGGGCTTGCAGATATCATCAACTTGAGCCCCCCCGTCCTCGGTCATTAACTGGGGGGGAGGGGAGACCCCTGTCTGGAGCCACAGATAAACTGCTCCCCCGAAGTTCAAGTGTGAAGAGTGCTTGAGGAGGAGAAGTGGCGCTGGCTCATTAGATTAATGACAGGAGCCCCCTGGACCCTCAGACAGCCTCTCCGAAGTTGTGTGTGTGGAGTGGGGGGCTGGGAGGACGCCTGCTCCCCTCCCCCCCCGCCTCTCCATTCAGCTGGGCACAAACCATCAGCCTCTTCCCCAGCAAGGCAGTGCTGGGGTGCAGAACAGGGGCCTCATTTCCAACGTCCAGCGCAGACCCTGTGCCAAACCGCAGCACGGATTGGTCCTGCTGGTAACCAGACCAATACCCCGGGCCTGGTTCCAGACTGATAGAGGGCTTAATCCTTCAGGAATTCACCAGTGATAAAGGAGCTCATGGCTTGTTCTGACCCTGATCGTTTCTGGGGTTCTGGGGTTCTCCATCAAGGGTGCCTCCAAGGGTGTGCTTTTAGGCTGAAGCAGGCAAATCTGTGCCTGATCCGAGTTTCTGCAGTGCTCCGGGAGGCAAAGTGCTGCAGATCAGGATGATCATGTGAGTTCGCTCCCTGTCTGCACTGAGAAGGCTCTCTCACTTTGACTTGTGGGGCTGTGGGGGGTGTGTGTGGGGGGGGGGTCGTTCTCTTGCTTTTAAAGGATCTCAGGATTCTGGCAGATCGGAGACACTGTCCTGAAGACAGAGCGTCCTGAACTGTGCGTTGGGAAAGGTGTGAAACTGACAAGTCAAAAAAAAAAAGTGACTTGTCGGGCTCTTTATTTTCAGAGGTGACAAAAACTGGGAATCGTCTTTTCTCTTTCTGTTTTTTTTTTTCCCCGGGAAGGAGAAACTGAATGCGAGATGAGGGCTCTGGGGTGGAAAAATGAATTCTCTAAATTGATTAATGGCTGCCTATTGAAAAGGCTTGGTCCTCCCTGGCCCTTCCCAGAGCCCCTTCAATAGCTGTGAGAGGGGGCTCCTTTCACAGGCAGGCGATAGATCAATGAGATGCAGGGGTGAGACACCCAGCCTGTGTAAGATGTGCATTGTCCTCCATTGAGATCAGTGTCAGGGACTGTGCTGTGCAGTGAGGCACATCTGGTCCCTTCTCAACACAAGCTGGGGGCTGAGGGGCGGGGCCGAGTGGAGGGGGCGTGGTTTTGTTCCAGAGTAGGGCGGGGTTAACGGCTTGGCTTTGTAAGGAGAGGGGGGGTCGGTTTTCAATGATAATGCTCTGGTTCATATCTATCTATTAATTATTAGATGATTGCGTAGGGGTTACAATCACCAGGACCTGAGAAGGATGATCACAAAAATTGACATGTAAAAAAATCAACTCCCCACCATCCACCTGAACTAGGTGACTGATCATTCAGCGCTCTTACCATGTCTTGGAAAGTTTCCCAGTGTCTTTCCCAGATCCTTGGAAGGTATATGTATCCAACTGTCTACCCTGCCCATGCCATGCCTCCAGTCCCCCTGCTATGCTAAAAGGTCTCTGTAGCTCATGCAAATTCAAAGCAGACTTAATAAAAGAAGTACTGGGGTGCAGTCCTGCCCTCTGCTGGAGGTATTGAGGTAGTGCAGGGTACGTTTACATCCCGTTGAGAAATGATCAGGAGTCTTATCGCCTGACCTTTGTGTACTTGAATTAAGGATGAACTAAACAATTAAACTGTATATAACAGAGCCTGGTAGTTGTGGAAGCTTTTTTAATCTAGAATAGCTGCCATGTACTGGCCAGGCTCTATGGGGTTTTGTTTCGAAGTGGCAGGTTTTGAATGCAAGTCTTGAATTGTGTTCCCTGCATCTCTTGCACAAGCTCCACACCCCTCCTTCTCCCCCCTTCCCCTGTTTTCCCTCCAGTTACCAATGTC